AAGTCGTTCCTGGCTTTATACATAAACACAGCGGTCTTATATTCCACTAAATCAAAGAATTTTAACAATTTAGACTGTATGAAAGCTCCATTGGTGTGATCCCTGTACCCCATCTTATGCACAATTCTGATTGCTCTTTTTTGTAATATGTACAATGGTTGCAGGGAACTTTTGTAAGTGTTTCCCCCGTTTTCAACACCATACTCCAAGTATGGTAAAATCAATGAAGAATGCAAAATGCGAAGTGCTTTCACATCCAACATATATCTAACCCTTGCCAATAGCGATATGTTTTTAGCTATTTTTTGCTGAACATATCTGATATGAGATGTCATCAACCATGACACCTAGAAATTTGATTTCATATACTCGTTCGATGTTAGCACCCCCGATTTTTAATTGAAGTTCATTATGTGGTCTACGATTCCCAAATACCATATATTTAGTTTTCTCCAAATTCAAAGAAAGTAAATTACTGTCACACCATCAACCTCAGCTAATATAAAGCCTCTTTTCCATCGCCTGGTACTGACTCGACTCCACTCAACTCAACTTTATTTGCTTTTGGTGCCGGGTGCTTTGTTTTCCACTGCTCTCACTGTAGCTGGTTGTCATAGCGACACTGCATTACACTGCCGTGACGTCGTCCGCAACCTAAACGGTAACAGTGGAGGACATCGAAGGTATGCTGTTCTTGATTCTCGGTATGTGACTGTTTGTACAATAAAGTAGCTGTTAGCGTTAAAGAATATTGCTTTTAAAAGTGGCGCTCTCTTTGTTCCAGGACGTCTCGCACATTGGTGACAAGATTTCTCTGACCAATTGCTAGTCTGCAGTGTTTACATGTCACTGTTTGGTATCACCTCTGCTTGCTTGGAACCTTGACGGAGGTGATACCAAAAATAGTACCAGGTACTATTTTTGGTATCACCTCCAACTTTTGGCTGATGGAAACACAAATAAGGCAAGTGGAGTTGAGTTGAGTTGAACCGGTACCAGGCGGTGGAAAGGGGGCTTAAGGAGCTGGGAGAAAAACCTCATCACCTGTTCAAAGTTCAGTTTCATTCTGAACTTCTTTGGTTAACACGCCTGATGTTATGATCAAGACCTATGTTAAAGATGAAGTTAAAATTTTAAGTTTAAACTTTAAATCTGTGTTATAGTCTTGGCTTTCTCTTCTTTCACTTTCAGGGGCATTGTGTTTGACACCATGTATGGAAACCTGTTGAAGGTCGACGCATACGGCAATATCCTGGTCTGTGTGCATGGATTCAATTTCCTCCGAGGGTAGGTGATACTACTATTTCAACTAACATGCTTGTTTCTGACATTGTCTTCAGTAAGAGTTTGTCTTGTATTTTCACTTGTCTCAGCCCTGAGATCCGTGAGCGGTACCCAAACAAGTTCATCCAGCGAGACGACACAGAACGCTTTTATATCCTTAACACACTCTTCAACCTGCCCGGTAAGGTCTGAGGACACTAACGAGAATACTGTGAATCTGTTAAAGAGCAATTAAATCGTGATTCAACACTGAATATAACTGAAGGTGAAAGATAAGTCTCATCAAGCCACGACGTTACTGACCAGAGCTTTTCTTCACAGAGACCTACCTTTTTGCTTGCCTTGTGGATTTCTTCTCTATTTGTGACAGATACACAAGGTAAAAAACTCTTATACATGATCTCTGTCAAGCAACATGTTTCTGGGCACCGCATGGTGACACAAAGACAGTTGCAAACCAAGCCTGGTCAAGAGCAAGTCCTACAGCATGGAAGGGCACAGGTGTCTCAGCTGCTAATCTCAGCTAATTGTTTTAAAATGAAAATTAAATGACAGTTCAGTCAAAGAATCTATTTGTCTTTTTCTGTAACAGTGATTAATTAATCTCTGCCACTACTAATTATAGAGGAGCATGGATTCTCATCAGAAGGAGACAGGGATTCAAAATGTTTTCACTAATTATTTACAGAGAATGAAATGTAAATGTTGCCATACGGAGCTATAATAATAGCCTGTAAATTTGTTGAGAATGTAATCTGGAATGGCTGCATGTCCCTTGTCCTCTGAAACCTGGTTGTTGGTCTTTTAGGGGGAGAATGCTTTTCCTGTTTGGCTGGGGACCCCTCCAACAAGGGAAGGCTATCCCATTTAAAAGCAAACCAAAAACAAATGTCATGTTTCTGAAACCCTTCTGTAAAGATGTGGCCTGTGCGACGGCTGTGTACGTGTTTGTTTCTGCTCCTCTCCCCCAGCTGTGAAACTGGCTTCAAAAATGGAGACCTCTTCATGTCCTATAAGAGCATGTTCCAGGATGTCCGCGACGCCGTTGACTGGGTCCACTTCAAGGTACCTTTGATGGCTGTGATTCTAATGTGTTTCAGTTATTAAACTAGGGTGCCCCCCCCCCCCCCGTGTTTGCTTGTTAAGACTTTTTTTTTCACACATGAGCTCCAGACCATGTCAGCAGAATCCAGCCCAGACTTTGTTCAGAGTTGCCCTTTCATACATGTAGCACTCAACAGGAGATAGTACATCTCAACCGAGTTTCTTTCCTTGTCTGATGATTCTGGAGCTGACTCTTAACAAAAGTTCCAGAATCCCATCATGCCTCCAATTAGATATTTTCATTGGTGTCTTTATTGTTAATAACCATTCGTCTTCACCATTGGATGTTTGTATTCTTCCAGTTTCACACCAGTCATGTGATAGAAGGTCATCAACAGGCCCACCGGCTCTGTGCTGTTTTCTCACGTTGGCTCACTATAGCTCGCTCGGACATTGCACGGACTTTCTGCTAGGGAGCTGGCAGAGGAAAGTCCATTTAAGGTCCGGGTCAACTGACTAGGACATTTGCCTTCTCACATACAGCTCCTCTGGGTAATGCCTAGATCATGTCAGGGCTCCAGAGCATGTTTGAAAGGGGCTTGTGCTCCTCCACAGAGACCTTTGTTACTAGTTAAAAAGAAATCTTGCTCTGTTATCACTACTGCATCTGCATTTCCACATCGGGTGTAAACTACAGCTAAATACCACAAATTCTAAAGTCTTACTGAATGGGCTGTTTGTTATTAAATACTCATTTAAATTTAGATCTTTAGTGTTAAGTTTCTTCTGTGTCACATTGCAGGGTACACTGAAGGAAAAGACAGTTGAGAACTTGGAGAAGTATGTTGTGAAAGATGTAAGTAGTTTGTATTCGTCAAGGATACTACAGATGTACTGTGTTAGAGGACACACACACACACAGTGTCACACATTCTTGTTAGACTTAGTGAAGAGGCTGGTTTGTAAAGATGCCTTTAGCTTCAGTGTTTTTTCTTTTCTTTTCTTCTTCCCTGTTCCCACCAGGGGAAGCTGCCTCTTCTCCTCAGCCGCATGAATGAAGTAGCCAAGGTCTTCTTGGCTACCAACAGTGACTACAAATACACTGATGTGAGTATATGTGTGTTGTGGAAGGGAAAACAGTAATTAGGTCATTCAGAAACTGCAGTGGTAAAACAGATGATGAATTAAGATGAAGCTCTGTTTGATAGAATTTCTACCAGTCTGTTGGCAGCAGCGACAGCTGTATTAGGTCCAGATGCTGCTGTGTTTGACTTCACTGTCAGTCTGTGTGTTGTGTTTTCACAGAAAATCATGACCTACCTTTTTGACTTCCCCCATGGCCCCAAGGTAAAATAAAATTTTCATTTTTCCCCCTTTTTCTTTCACTAGACATTAAAATGTCTTGAATAGGATCATGAAAGTGAAAGACATGCAGGTTTTTATGTTCATATGTTTGACTTTCTTTCTGTGCATGTACTATATGTGTGCTTGTTTCCACTGCAGCCTGGGACCTCCCACCGGCCCTGGCAGTCCTACTTCGATCTGATCCTGGTGGATGCCAGGAAGCCGATGTTCTTCGGTGAAGGGACGGTGCTCAGACAAGTCGACGCGGTGAGCAGGCACACAGCCAGTACAGAAGACAGAACTGTTGGTGGCACTGCATGGGAACAGTGTCTGACATATCTGGCATACATAGAGAGGAATCCGTTTATTACATGTACAAAGGGTGACAAAAACATCTGATTTTGACTGTAGAAATGACTGTCAGCACAACCTGACTGGCCGTTCACAGTTTTTCAAGTTTGTCAGGTATTCTGTATGTCGTTACAGGCAGTTTTTCTGTATTTGTTCCTCCTTTTCATACCGACACTGAAGAGATACATACCCAAATTAATTTCTGCCAGGGCCAAAATACACATTTGTTGTGCATGACAGTAGATGAAAAACTTTATCTGAAGTTAATATAAGTCTTCAGCACTCTTTGCTCATGCCAAGCTTGTAGTTTCAGAATCAGGTTGCAAAATGTGTGACAAAAGAAAGATGGCTGCCCCTGCATGTGTGGTATTATGGCTTTATATATAGATGACATGTTACTACTTCCTGCCACTATGTAAAAATAGAGTCTGTGGTTCTAGCACATGGCTTCATTCTTGTCCAGTGATTTTTGTCAAGGTTCTTTTCACTAATCTGAGGTGTTTTTTTTATTTTATTTTATTTCAGACAACAGGACGCTTAAAGATAGGAACTTACACAGGACCTCTGCAGCATGGGATCGTGTACTCCGGAGGTAAGGCTTCTCTTCTTTCTTTCAGTCATTTATTTCCCTGTCCTAGCATTTTGTCTGTAGTAGCTGTGGTTGTAACATCACTTCATTGTCCTTTAGGTTCCTCAGACATTGTGTGTGATTTGCTGGGGGCCAAGGGGAAGGACATAGTGTACATTGGTGACCATATCTTTGGAGACATCCTCAAGTCCAAGAAACGTCAAGGCTGGAGGACGTTTCTGGTCATTCCTGAACTGGCCCAGGAGCTGCACGTGTGGACTGACAAGAGCTGTGAGACACAAACAAGAACACAGGCCTGCACACACAGTACTGTAGAAATAGAAGTTTGACCATGTACGTTTCTGTAGTACTGCATTCAGGGACCTGAACTAGAACAGCAGCTACAAGTTTCAGGTCAAACATAAGAGTTGTACATAAGCAAAATTTGATAAAGATTATCTAATTAGCAAGTATAAAGTCAAGATTGGACACTGGATAGCCCCATTCTCACTCACACAGCACATATTTACGCAATCAAGAACATGAACATTGGAGCTAAAGCTAGAACAGATGAGTAGTGAGGACACAAAGTCACCCTTATCTTTTGTTTTCCAGCATTATTCGAGGAACTGCAGGGCCTGGACATTTTCTTGGCTGAACTCTACAAGTGAGTACTGTGATCTTTGGCCTCCTTTTTCCGCTGCCTTCACCATATCCCACCCCCTTCCTCGTCACTGGCTCTTGCATCAGTTCTGGTGCTCTGTGCTCTTGGTGGAAACAGTTTGCGTGTATGAGAGCATGCTTCAGAGGGTGCAACGGGGTCAAGGGTTAGGTCTAAAGTGTCCACAGGCCTCCTGATAACCAAGATCACTATTTTCCCTTTTCTAGCACTGGTTTAAGTATGTAAAGAACAGCAGTTCTGTTATGTACAAAAAATATGAAGTCGCTGGTGTATGGAGACCACATGATATATATCGCTAGACAAAATGATACATTTTGTGATGCTTTTGTATCACAGTATATTGAATTTGGATAAATTGTCCCATGCCTACTGTGTATGCTGTTTATGGAACAACTGTGGCTATGGGGAAATGAAGGCCTCCATATCTGATCTGGCAGCAAAGCATTCATCTCCCTTTCCCAGGCTGCCTTGGTACAGTTGACGAGTGCTGAGTCTTTACAAATGAAATCCACTAATTTGGCAGTCCTCCATTATTCTGTGCTGTATTTTAATTGATCAAAATCTTTTTTTAGTTTGAAACTTCACTATGTGGTATCAACCTGAACAATGTTAACAGGGCCATGCTGCAAAGTTGTTTTCTCCTCTATACATAAGTTTAGTTGTAGCCCAGTTTACTGTGTAAGCAGACATTTTGTTGAATGATTCAACTGTAGTAGTAAAAAATAAGGGATACCCACTTCAGGACTCATTAAGGTACGAAGTAGATCATCAGCAAACAGCTGTACCAGCTGGAATAGCTTTGATGTGAGGATGACTCCTTACCCCAATTGCTGAAGGTCCTAGTGCTATATTCTGTAACAGAGGGGAGACAGGTGATCTCCCTGTCTCACACCACGTTGTGAACTGACGAGCTATGATTTGTTACGACAGGTGTAGAAGAGTGATACATCTATTCAGGCTGGCCCACAAAAATCTTCTGGAATCTGTATTTCTGACTCAGAGTAAAATGGATGTTAAATTATGAAAAACTTGTCAGGACTCTGCTCCAGACCCACCTGGACCAGGGCATTTTTCAGTTGGGAGCATTTCTTTCCAAAACAGATTTCACATCTTTCAACATCTTTTTTTGCTTGTTCCTCCTCAGACATCTGGACAGCAGCAGTAATGAGAGGCCAGACATCAGCACTATTCAGAGAAGAGTCAAGGTACGGCCTTAATCACCTCTGGTTGTATGACAGCAAGAGACCTGTCCACAGGCCAGAGATGGCGGAGTTATCACTGCTTGCATGTACGCTGGTCTAATCATTAACAGTGATCCTTTTCATCAAAGAGACCGCTCACTGGTTTCAAGCTGTTCTGTCAGTGCCTGGTGAGGACACTGCTGATTCAGTTGTATCAATGTATAACGACAGCAGCGTCCCCAATAAAGGTGCTACACTCCCTGGGTTCAGGAGAGTAAATCCTTTGGCATGATTTTGCAAAAAAATCTTTCCCTTCTTGCTCTTTAGAAAGTGACACATGACATGGACATGTGCTATGGCATGATGGGTAGCCTTTTCCGCAGTGGCTCCAGACAGACCCTGTTTGCCTCCCAGGTGATGCGTTACGCCGACCTGTACGCGGCCTCCTTCATCAACCTGCTGTACTACCCCTTCAGCTACCTCTTCAGAGCTGCACACGTACTGGTGAGGGTCTTAATGTGAAGTGAGGGAGTGGGGTTGGGTCTGAAGAGAGTTGGACATGAGCCTACAGCGTATCTGTACTTGAGGCCAGTGGCTTGAAGCTACACTAGCTGCTAGTAACATGTCAGAACTGAACTGTCTGTGGTTGAGCTGGATTGTGGGTAATGTAATGTAGGTGCCAGAATGAGTAGAACAATACATGTGGTTCTGCCGACTGTCAGCGATGCCCAAAAGCCCAGTGATGTTATTGGAGTACAGTGCTAAGTCTGTGGAGTTTCTTTTCAGAGTCCACAGCAGCCAGACAGCTTGTGGAGGCTTGACAGTCACATATGGATCGTTTTATTAATGAAATCGATATAGTCTGGAAGTGAAATTAACTTCCCTAGGAAACAGAGACAGGCTGTGTGCGTTCTGAAACAAACATCTGAGGGCAGTGAATGACATTTTAGCATCAGTGTTTTTTGTTTTGTAGTTTTTGTACTCAATTTGTAATTTTAATATTCATTTACTGTAGTTCCTAAATTCTGCTCTTTGTTGTAATGGTATTTTGTGATGATATTGCCGTTGTTGACATTTTGTTACAACACAATTGTATGTGTTGCACTTGTTAAAGGCTGGCCATCTGTGTGATTTTGCACCTGCTGAGCAGTAGGTTGTTGTTTTCTTATGTTCTATCCTTCCTCCTCCTCAGATGCCCCATGAGTCAACGGTGGAACACACCCAAGTGGACATCGACACAGAGTCACCGCTGGCCACGCGCAACCGCACCCAATGCAGTGACTGCAAGGACCTGGAGTACAAACGCAACCATCTGACCCGCTCCTTCAGTGAGATCAAACCGCCCCACCTTTTCCCCCAGACGCCCCAGGAGATCACTCACTGCCACGATGAGGATGATGACGAGGAGGAGGAGGAGGAAGAAGAGGAAGAGGAGGAGGAATAAGCTGAACATGGAGATGAAGGCCATGTTCCTGTTCCTGCCTTTTTACATTTCAAGGAGCAAACACTTCTCCAATGTGTGTGTACAGTCACTTCAGAAATTATTCAGACCCTTTCAGTTTTTACACACTTTGTGTTGTAGATTTAATTTCAAATGGATAAAATTGCCATTTTGGCCATCAACACAACTGAATAAGTGAAGAACATATTTTGGAAGGGTATTAAAAATCAGGTTCTCCCCCACTGTGGTCAGATGGACTCCAAATTCTAAACGCATCTCAAAGACATTTAAAGCAAACAGGCATTTTAAATAAAACTCTCAACACAGTAAAGCATACAAAAGGTTAAGCGGTAGAAATAATTCTGACGTGTGTGTAGATGCACACACACAGACATACACACAGACTGGAGACTGCTGAGGAAAGTATAAAGGACCAGTAGCGTGACAGATCATGTGACTGTCACACTGTGTATGTGCTTGGTCGACAAAACCCAACTTTTCCTAGCTTCATTATGGAAGAACAATCTTCTAATTTATGTAATTGGATTTCTTTCTTACCTTCCCCATGAGACAGACAAAACAAACACTCGAGCAAACGTCACACTATTTTTTCATCATGTTTTATAAGTTGATGTTTAAGACCAGCAAGTGAATCCAGTAGATCTAGTCAGTGAACTGTAGTTTTCGACAAACTTGCCTTGCTGACACACTGTATGCACATTGCAAACAAATGAAAAACACTTTTCAGTTATGGTGTCTAAGAAAAACAGAGATGCACATACTGTGTCAAAGCTGACATTTTTAATGCAACATGGGAACAACATTGTGTTTTGTTTCATTTTTCTTATTGATTAGTTTGAACTTGTATGTAATGGTGTGTGTTTCTGTGTGTGTACCTGCCAAAGCAGCCAGTCGGAGACTCACTCAGGCTGTGGCACCCTGAGCGATCGTGAACAAAGGGCCCACTGTACTAGACTGATGCACAGGAGCACCGAAGCACAAGCCGGCGTTAAATCGATCAATAACCAGATGCTGGTTTTGTTTGGCTGAGAGAACGTGTCGTGGTGCATGAGTGGTTGTTGAAGTGGTGTTTTGTTACCTAGCAACAGTGAGGACACGGTACTGTAATTTATGCTGATAGTCTCTATGACAACCTTGAACTACAGTAGTGTTTCTGTAAATAGCTGTTGATTTAATGGATTTTGTAATGACTTTTAACGCCACGAGCAGCTGCAGAAACATGCACTATCTGTCAGCTTGGTTATTTAGAAAGACACTAGTATTGTATTTAACAGTTTCAGAAGGTTTTATTTTGATAGGGAGGTTGTACAATGCCAGCAACCAAGCAACTTAGATGTGTGAAGTGAATTTTGTCAGGTGTGTAACAGGTGTGTGAAAGTGGCCCTTGGGTTGGGGCTTCGTTGAACCTTTTTTTTTTTTTTTTTTGTGTCCACTGACTGAGAATTGTCGTCGTCATCCTCGGTGGGGAAATGTTGATGGAAAGTGTGGGGCTGAGTGTGAACAGTATTCTTCTTTTGGGCCTCTGAATGAGCCGTACAGTGTCGGTTCCAGCTGTGGTACTAGTTCAGGGCTGGGTGAAGATGATGATGATGTTGAAGCACTTGACTTTGCTTTTGCTTTGAACTTTACGACAAAACACAAGCTTGTTGAGCTTAAAGCACCCTGTGCTTTGGTTTCACTGACAGTATTTCCACCTCTTTGTTTTCAATACAAATTTGAAATTTGTACCAAAAACCTTGAAACACTAAAAATTAGAAAAAAATTAAAATATCCTGAAACAGTGAAGAGAATCGTTGTAGCGTTGCCAGGAAACAGTGTGTCATAGAAAATGTGTTTTCAGGGCCTTTAACAACAGGAATGAGTGGAATCAGTGTTTGTTCCGTTGCTGAAATAGTGTCTCCTGTACAGGAAGTTGCCTCACCTTTTTGTTAAGCCTTGGCGTGCAGTATCAGTCTTGTACATGTTGGATCGGCCAGTAGATTCAGGCCACAAAAGTGAAGCAGCTTGCCACCTATTTTTGGCTTTATTGTTTGTTTGGCTTGTTGTGGAGTGGAGAGAGATGAATGTGTTAAACTGCAACCTTACGGGAGGTTCATTGGATAAATCCTTAGGACATTAAGAAACGTATTACAGATGTTTCTTTGTTTTCTTTTTTATTTTGTTACAAATGTTTGTATTCTCAGTTTTGATCTTTGTTTCTTGGATTTAGAAGAAATGGACACGCTACATGAGGCAGCTGCACTGGTGATGATGAATAGTTGACTGTCTTTTCTCTGCATAATTTACATATGCATGCATAAACAAGCATATCTGTTCTGCCACAGTAGCTACGGTAGCATTGATTTTGCTTATGTGTGGACCTTTTAGACAATTGTCATTGTAGTTTACACAAACTAAAAAGAAACTGTAAACCAGTAAAAAGAAACACTTCGAATGAAAGGGAATGTGAACTGCATGTGAAGTTCAGTGACTAGTGTTATTTGTCGTCGACATCATTTGGTTATTTTTATTTTTCTAAGCTAGTGTTTTCAAATGGTCTCAGTTTACAGAACTGTAAACTTTCCAGTTCCTTATTATGTTTGTCCAGTAACATTTGCTGTTAATTTTTATACAGCACCACCAGAGTCTGTTGCTCAGAGCTAACTAAAGCCTGGTAAACAGGTTACAGTGCTTTGTTATCCACAGTTATGATGCCCAGAAATCCTCCACATAAATAACAGGTGCCTGTCCCCTTTCATTTTCTAAAATATAGTCATCTTCTGTTTCTATGCATATTAGTTTATGTTCTCTTGAACAGTGTTTTGTTTTTGTTTTCAGAAACGGTCCTACAGACTGTACATTGGGGTAAATGACAAAAATGTAGAATAAAAATAGTTTTTCATAATTTTCTTGTTGTTCTTTTATTCATATTTTGCTGCTGTAGATCGAACATTTGTACTATGCTGGCCGAGGGCGAGAGGCCAAGAATACATCTAAGGATATGGTGTTTTCATTGTCCTAAGATGTGTAATAACTGAAGATAATCTCACATGCTGTAAAGTGCTACGGCACTGCAGACTGCCTTGTTAAGTTAAACTAAATGAGCAGCACCCTGGGCTCAATGTTCAGATGTCTGAACTGATAATTCACTGCCATCAGAGCTGAATGATATGATGTAATGGTTTGTCACACATATTCAGTACAGACTAGTGCTGCTGCAGCATTTCCTGACTCAGCATTTTACCCCATAGTCAGCTCCACAGACTGATCCTCAGCAAATGATGACTGATGATATATGTAGATTGTTAAATTATGAAATGTGTATGTTGCATGCAGATGCACTGGTGAGTCTCGTTCCGAGGAGTCGGCTCCCCTGTGTTGTGCAATTGGGCAGCTGTTTAGTTTCTATAAAGTCTTGGCATACCTCACTGCACTGCTGATGTCTGGGTGTTCTGTCCTTAGGGAGGACCAGCATCTGCATCAGAGCGCTGCTGAGTTTCAGATGCACAGGGATGCAATGTTGTGTTGTTCTTTTCTCCTCTGTTTGTATTCGAGGGGCTCTTATTGGAGCTTCTTGTGGTTTGACAACAGTCCAGTCGGCGTAGCCACAGGTTTTAGGTGCTTCCTTGATGTGTTTGTGCTCCTTCTGCTTCCCCCCCACCTTTGTGGCCACATTCTCAGCCTGTCCTGATAGGGTTGGTTTGATTTGATTTTGATTTATTCTTTTCTTTCAAGCATGTAAAGACAGTTGATATGTCAACCCACATAATTTTACACATATCCAACAAATGCTAATCCAATATCAATTTGCTTATACCTAGTACATGCTTGAATGGAGTAGGAAGAAGTCAGACTTATCCAGTCCTACCCCATGACATCATCTTACCATCATTGGTTTGCAAGCAGTATCTCTACATAAATAATTATCTTCTACACCACACAAGTAATATACTAAAAAATTATAACAGAGTGTTAACATTCTTACATAATTACATTCTTAAATAATTATCTTCTACACCACACAAGTAATATACTAAAGAATTATTACAAAGTGTTAACATTCATACACCACACCCACAATGTTCCATCTAATTAATCATTAAGCCTGTTCTTGCATATATCTTGACTGACACATACCTTTATATTTATGTTTAAACTCATCAATTCTAGTACTATTTTTT